TAGGTAATGTTTGGGGATCCCCACTGGTAGAAACAGTACATAGAGGCTTGTGTAGGTTCCCATCTTCCTACATTAATGAGTGAATTAATGAGTATGGGAAGAGGGGATAGAACTGGGAGATGGGAAGAGGATATAGAATAAGAAAAGGCTTGGAAGTGGGATGACCAGTTCAAAGGAGGCAGGATAGAGTTTGAAGATGACTTATAGGAGCAACATGTGGAGAAACTTGTGGGCCAGGCTGGTGAGCTTGGCATTGATGCTAAGCAAGGCTGAGTGAATAGAATGTGATGTGGGCAGTTGCTTTTTGTAATGGTTTTTAGTGAAGCTCCTGGGAAAGATGGATGGGATGGGGCCGGACTGGAAGTTAAAAGTCTGTCCGTTTAGTTACTCATTAAACAACTCCCGAGAGAGTGCGGCTTTAACCAGAAAAGGAAAGAAAATGTGTGTGTGTGTGTGGGGGGGGGCGGTGCAGGGGAAAGAGGTATTTTTTCTGCAGTGAAAAGGGTACTAGGGTCCTCAGCTATGAAATAGGAATAACACTAATGCTCACCTCACAGGCTATTAGTGGAAGCAAGTAAGGTGACAGATGTGAGAGTTTTGTAGGCTCTGAGGCACTGTGGGGCAGGGATGTGAATGGATGGGAACAGCCACGGATGTTGCAGTTTGGGGGATCTGCCTGTTTATTCCCCCATGCCCAGGTCAGTGAGTATGCACGTGCTATTGAAGATCAGGATAGCCAGGTCCTGGAGATAAATGACTCTCCTAATTCCAGAGATCCTACTGCCCTTGCTTCCTCCTATGAGTCCCCAGTCTTCAACCTGCTGCGCCTGGAGCTGGAGGGAGCACAAGAATTGGTGGCCCAGCTTAAGGCTAAAAAAGAGTTAGTGGGGCTGGGGACTTCCTCTACCAACTCCAGAGCCAGGTATGTGGACTGATTAAAGAATTTCTCCCCTCTCCACAGCCTCCTGCCTTATCTAATATCAAATTTGACAATTCTCCAAACTACTTCTTTCTGAGGAAGAAGACCCTGAGCTGAGAAATATGGGAGCCTGAGTTCAGTTCTTAAGAGCACTCGGTGACCCACATCCCTGGCATCTCATTTCCATAGGTGGCCAATGCCAGCCTCACACTCAAGCTCCTGGCTGACTCTGACCAGTGCAGCTTCCATTGTCTCTGCCAGGAGGTGGATGTCCTTAAGGGCCAGCTAAGAGAGTGTGAGAGGGAGAAAGAGCAAGAAGAGGCCTCCACACACTGTCACCCACCTCTGCCCCTGGGTAAGGCCACAGACTGAGTTTCCCAAGATCTCATCTCCCCAAGGATAGGATTGGACATATAGAGTTGCTTATGCTATACTGAGGAGTGGGCAGCAAAGATCTTGATGTGGAATAAATCTCTCATTTTCTTGTTTGGCATATTCCTAAGGGATGCAGACCAAGATTGGTACATGGGTATACCCATGTACATGAACCTGTAAATAATCAAACATACACAATAACCTTTATTCATGTGCAATCACACCTGCTTATACACTTGTAAATGCATTCGGTTCATGGACATACACTCAAATGCACACATGGTTATTATACTTTCATACTCTGCTCCTGTGGGTCATGTGCTTCACAGCTAGCTCATATCTTCTCTGCTCTCTTCTCTAGGTTCTTGTGCCCATGGAGGGCTCCAGAAAGTCAGCAGACCCATTGTAGTACAGCTCAATTGGAGAGGATTCTCTTACAAGGCAGGCACCTGGGGCCGAGACTCGGCACCCAATCCAGCCTCTTCCCTCTACTGGGTGGCTCCTCTGCGTGAAGATGGCAGGTGAGTCCAGCGTGAATCCTCTTCTGCAAGCAGGTTCTTTCCAGATATTTCCTACCCTGCCCTAATAGATTTCTTTGTGGCTCCATCCTAGCTTCTTTTATTTCAGGAGCTCCCCTGGGCAATTTTAACCTAGGCCTGACAGGCTACCTCTGAGTGCTCATCTCATGGGTTAAGGATAGCACAGACTGCTCCAAGCTTCCTTCACAAATTCACTGTCTGAAACTTTTAATCCCATTATAATCCAAGGCTGGTTCTATTCCTAGCCTGATCTTATCTCAAGAACAAACTCTTCTACACCTGGGCCTTAGAATCCTAACTTCTACTCAGAAGGTGTTCAGATGATAAACGTGACCAGCCAGTACAAGCCATCCCTGTCAGGAGCCTTCATGGCCTGTGGGGTTCTCTATGCATTATGCTCACCGAGCACCCGCCAAGAGGAGATCTTCTATGCTTTTGACACCACCACTGGGCAGAAGTGTCATCTCAGCATCCTGCTGGATAAGATGCTGGAAACACTGCAGGGCATCAACTACTGCCCCTCAGATCACAAGTTGTATGTCTATAATGATGGCTACCTGATCAACTATGACTTTAGCTTCCTGACACTGAAGTGCAGGCTACCAAGACCACCAGGCAAAAGGCCCTCTGGGGCCCAGGCTCCACCAAAAGCTGACAAACCCAACAAGCCCTCCAGGCCAGGAGACCCCAGGGCAAAGCACCAGTAGAAGCGTGTCCTCTTCTTCACCCTCCGGGTGGACCACTCTTCAAAATGGCCATCAGCGCTAATGATTGACAGCCTTGATCATATGTACTTAGCTCTTTATTCTTAACGTCTCAATCAGCACATTAAAATTCTCTTTAATAACGATCTCAGTGGATTTGATTGGGTTTTATTGGGAAACAAAACATGAGATAGAAAATGTTACTCCCTCTTTACCAGAATCCTAGAACTGTAGATGGATTTAACCATTTTTAAAACAAATCTCATATTCTGTTTTGAAAACTGTGAATCTGGCTCCTACAGTTGTAGGACTCTGTGAGCTAGGTTTAGAGTTGTAAATCTCAGGTCGAGAGCCTCTGATTCTAGTGTAGAAGATCCAGGGCAGCTGGTCATTAGAGTAGGGTGTGCGAGTTCCCTTTCTTATCCTCAACCTTCTGTGTGATACCTGGGGAGAAATGAGGCAGTGTTTTGGTGTGAAAATCAATGTTTCACTGTCCTGAATCAATCTCACTTTTGAGTGCAATTGAGAGGGGCTTAGATCTGAGTCTGCTCTAGGAAGTGGGCAATTGGTGGCTGAGCAGGTCTGACATGGATTGGGCTGGAGGTTCAGACATTCTCAGTAAAGAATCCTTTAGTGTGATAGCAGGGAGTCTCCTAGCCAACTGTCTGTAGTTTCTTTGCTCATCTTCAACACACTGAGAACATATGGTCCTGGACTCTGTGCTTGACACTTACCTATCTGCATGGTGCACCTTCCTTCCAGGCAGGTGGATGGAATGTTCAGTTTCAGGTCCTTAGGACTTCATAGTCAGTCGCACAGGTACTGGAATACTTCACACACACTGTCTCATGCTTACACTTTCATACACATACACTCACAGATCCAATCGAACATATGCCTTCTCACTCCTACATGTGCAATATTTCCACCCACGCCCAAACATCAACATAGACAAAAACATGCATTTTAACTTATCCACGAATGGATAAGTTAAATATCAAGCACCATCCCCCAAATTGGCATGGAACTGGAAATCTGGCCTTTTAGTTGCCTAAACCTGTCTTGTTAGGAATTTCACCATTAGGCAACTTAACTTTCACCTCTTGGTTCGCAGATATCTCTTGCATTTAATGCTTCGGCATGAAGGTAGGCTCTTAAGACTGGGCTAGAGCCCTGAAACAAATCATTATATTACTTCTGCTTTACTGACATGTAGAAAAGACCAAGTGATAAGTGAATTAAAAATATTTTGCAAGGAATGGCTCATTCACCTTAGTTTGGAATGTCCCTAGAGGGACTCTCCCTGGCTAGCCCCGCCCCACTCCAGGATGGAAGGGATCTTTCCCATCACACGGGAGCACTCTCAGTTAAGTCTAGCATCCCAGAATTTAGACACAGAGAAAAACATGACCTCTTCTTCCACTAAAGAAGTTTGTTCTTGCTCCATTTTTCTTTCTAAGCCCCAACTCTTTCTAGATCACTAACAAAAGTAATAAACCCCTTCCTATGGGAGAGATTCCATTCTTACCCACTGGTATGCAGTTTTATCTATGGCTTCAATAGACTCAATTTTTTATGCAACAAGCCTAACATTCTCATAAGTGTCCCACGCATATCACCAGAGAAACACACATCTCACATAACTGATCTGGTTTTATTTTATTTTATTTTATTTTATTTT